GGTCAGATAACTGACTGTAACAGAAGGACCAGCAAGCAGCTGATGCTTTTTCCATTATGCCATGAGCATATGCAAGACTGTCAATATTAGTGCTTGAAGAGTTAACTGTTGGCACCGTAGCTGAGGTGAGACTGATTTTATGAAAAGAGCAATGTCTAATGAATTCCTGTCTTGTATGTGGAGATGTACACAAAGTGCAGACCTGCTCTCCCTGTGGCCCCCAAATGTGTTTTTGTATCCCCTGTAGCCTATTACTTGCTAAATAGTGTTGAACTACCTTAGTGAGATGTCTACAAGGTCTTCAAGGAGACACAGCAAGATGGTACAAGGAAATAATCCACTGGTATGTAGCCCTTAAAAAAATTGACTCTTGAGATGAAAGATCCCAATGTTCTCTAGAACAGAACAGATTTAAACTAAGATTAGAAAACCTCTGACTGTCTATGTTTCAGCCTACAAACCCCATCAGTTCCCCTCAAGCACTATTTATGTTTTAGAACAAAGTATCTGAAGAAGTATCCCCCATTTTTAATTTTACTTTTTCTGCTTGGGACAGCCTGTACCATCAGTCTACCTAGCAGAGAAGCTTTGACTTCCTTTTTGTTTGAAGCATCTGAATCTACGTATGATATTAGCAGCAGTGCCTCCCCCCACAGATGTAGAAAACAACCATCCACTGTAAATTAGTGCCCCGAGGGTTATCAAGCACAGATGAGAAACTAGTTACATAAGCAACATTTTGTCCTAAATTTTTTATGAGGAACAGTTGCATGAGGTCAGGCTTAAATACAAAAAGATATACATTATTTAGGGAGAGTACCTTTCAAAGCTCCATACATTTTTAATGATTACTGCTGGGTTTAGCTATGAAGAATTTGACCTTTGCCCCAATACACTGAAATTTCTCATTCTTCAATCAGTATTCTGTATAAATGTGGGAGTCACTTATTTAGTCTCTTTTTGTTCTTTTGAACCTATTCCCAAAACCAACTGAAATACATGTGAAGATCATAATTTAATACAGAAATTGATAAGTCATATAAAAGAAACATCAAGTATATACCTACACAAACGCTGACATTAAGTCTAGTTGTGTATAACTCTGGGGAGTGGTGCTCATCTCCATTTCTAAGCCGAAGACCTGGTGTTATCTGTAGACGCTTCCAAGGTCATGTGGCTGGCATGACTGCATGGAGCACTGTTATCTTCCCGCCAAAGCGGTACCTATTGATTTACTCACATTTGCACCTAGGTTGACTCCCTGGTGGCGCAGCAGGTTAAAGCACTGAGCTGCTGAACTTGCAGACTGAAAGGTTGGCGGTTCAGATCCAGGGAGAGGGGTGAGCTCCCACTGTTAGGCCCAGTGCCTGCCGACCTAGCAGTTCAAAAACATGCAAATGTAAATAGATCAATAGGTACCACCCTGGTAGGAAGGTAACGGTGTGCCATGCAGTCATGCTGGCCACATGACCTTGGAGGGGTCTACTGACAATGCCGGCTCTTCAGCCTAGAAATGGAGATGAGCACCCCCCCCACCCCGAGTTGGACATGACCAGATTTAATGTCAAGGGGAAATCTTTACCTTAGGTTGGCAGAAGCTGGGCCTAACAGCGGGAGCTCCCCCCCCACTCCCTGGATATGAACACCAACCTTTCGGTCAGCAAGTTTAGCAGTAACCCGCTGCACCACCAGGAAGCCCCAATAAAATGTATACATTTCACAAAAACTAGGACCCAAATTGTGGCCTAAACCACAGACATTTATATGTGTCCTATGAGTCTAGTTGGGATCAACAACTAGATTTAGGTGTTATGTGTTTTGGACAGCTATCAAAGGAATTATAGAGGGTACTGACTATGTGTATTACACCATGCCGCCAGTTGATATGTCCCAAAGTGTTGTTTTCCACTTTCTCTAAGTCAAGGTGGGTATCCTGAGTCTCTTGCGACAAAAACAGCACAAAGGGCCATTTTTGTCATTCCCAAGGTCTCCATAAATATTTCTCTGATTTCGGGGAAAAACTTTGCTCCCTCTTCATTGCAATAATCACACCTCCAAGATATAAAACTCTTTCTTAAGATAATGAATACCCACACATTCCTGCAGAAAACCCAGCATATGTTTTAGAAGATGCTAAGGCTTAGATTTTGTCTGATTTTCATAGAAAGAAAATGGAAAGTTGTACTTACCATGAAGAATCGTTTTGGAATGGCCAGAAGAAACAATTTACTTGATATGTGGCAATTAACCTATTATTATAGGGGTTGGTCCTCCTGTGTCATCCCAAGAATGGAATGACCGCAGTCCTTTAGGATCATATATACTGTATGCCAGATGTGAAGGTTCACACAGAAGGTAGTTTAAGACACTGAATTAGTCCACCATCACTTGTCCATCAGTTAATGTAGCTTCCCAATACTGGTGTCCTCTAGATGTTTTATATCAACTTGCATGATTGCAAAACAATAGCTTTGTTACCTAAGATGACAGGGTTGCAATTCAAAACCTCTGAAAAGCACAACTTAGGGGAAAGTTAGCCTGGGAATTGTGACACTTGTGTTTTGGGGGGCTAGGTGAAACATCTACAGACATAATCACCAGAGATAATCTGTCATTTAGATAGCAAAACTGAGGAAAGACTAGAGTAGAAGGTGCAGTGAATATTGTTTATAGAGCTTGGAATGGTGAGGATTTTCATGTATTGTTGAATGACAACTCTCAGTGTTCCTCACCATTGCTGAGCTGATAACTGCAGTTCAGTGTCTGGAGGGCCACATAATTTCCATCTTCAGCCTATGGAAAAAAATCTTTGGCATAAGCTTATGAGCTCTGTCACATGTCTAAAGATAAAGAACCTTATTACAATAGGTTTGTATATCTATTGATATTATTTAATAAAAAGAAAATGGATTTGTCTTTCTTGAAGTGTAGGCTGAGGCCAAGATCCTGCTTGGGGATTGGTCAGCTCATGGAAAGGCACAATGGCAGAAGGAAGACAGGGAAAGCCTTCTCTGTATCCAGAGAAGAAGCTTCCTCTTCTTTGAGAAGCTTATGTCTGAAGGGTCTGAATTTACCTAAGTGTAGGCTGAGGCCAAGATCCTGCTTGGGGATGGGCCAGCACCTGTGATGCATGTAGCATGATGAGTACAACAAAAATTCAAAGACATAATGGCAGATGGAAGACAGGGAAAGCCATATCTGTATCCAGAGAAGAAGTTTCCTCTTCTTTGAGAAGCTTATCTCCTCAGGGTCTGAATTCACCTAAAATGCTATATGAAAGCTGAATTGAAAAATCACATGTCCTGTAGAAGTGGCATTCCTGGAATGCTTTTAGCTTTGAAATCCCAACTGGAATCTAATCATTATAGAGAAAGGCAACTCAGAAGCAGTCTCCAGCAAGGTAGATATTTCTATTCTTCTCCATCAATTCCTTGTCTCCAAATGCACTATGTCAGTTCAACTACATATAAGTGAGGTGCACTCAAATTCCTCAAATCCATGAGGTCAATTTGATTAACGTAGCTTAGACTATGGACAGCAGTGGAGCAAATTAACTATCTTTACATGGAAAAACAGGATAGCAGAGTTAGTTATCTCAAGGCTATGCAAGAGGAAAACCCAAATGTCATAAGTTGTTGGAGCTCAGCCTGTGATTGTATTTAAGGACCAGGGTGCTTTGGATGTGGAGAATGATGACAATGAGGTTCATGAAGGTGTTTCCAATGATACTGATGCAGAGAATGACCAAGAGATCCCTGTTCAAAACGTATTTTCTCATGAGAATGTTCCTGAAGGGTGTGGGGATGATGGTGTGCTCCCTGAATTGCTACCAGAGAATTCCCATGATGTAGAGCTTGAGAACAGCTCAACACCTGGCCCAGCTGCAGAAATTAATGAGCAAATAGATAGACGGGATGTTATTAAGTCAGAATAGGAAAGCAGATCAGTGTCTCAGGCATTCTGCCAGGCTCAAAGAAAGAATGATAAGGGATTCAAGGCTAAAACGAAACCCATTTCTGGCTGCTTGGGACATAGCATAATGAGGCGATATAAATCCCAAGTACAGGATCTGTAGTCAGATGAAGCATCGTTCGGAATCAACTCAAGACCTCGTTCCTGTTCCTTGGAAGCCGTGCTTTGGAAAGATTCATGTTTAAGTGCCTTTGATTCATGTTTTTAATTCTTGGATTTTACTATAGAAGTTTCTGCCTTTGTTTTTCATGAACTTTGATGGACTAATTTCCTAGACTATTTGTTCCAGCTTATCTTCCAACCTAATTGGATTTACCTATTCCTTTAAAGTGCTTTTTACTATTACTGCTTTTTAATTATCTTCAATAAACGGATTGCATGTCTACTCAACTGTGTGATGTTTAAGGTCAGAGGACTTTTCCTGGTCTGGAGTGCAACACAAGTCAATTATTCAGTTATACTTTTTCTGTAACTTTCTTGACAATGGACAGAATGCTCATACAGATTTGACTTCTGATGGGTTACAAACAAGGATAATCCAACTCCTCTCAGCAAAACCATTTATAAACTGAAGGGTTTAGCTAGCTCTTCTGTACTTGTTGTAACTCTTTACAAAAGGTACCACAATTGCAGTTTTGTTGTGTGCTTTCTTCATAGCTATTTATACAGTATGTACTCCCATCAGAGGACCATCCATGTGCTAGTGCTAAAGATAGTTTTATGATGAACAGGTAAAATTCCATTTCTTCTTTATTGAATCCATATAATACACCATTTATAGAATTTAAAAACTAGATAAAAGAGCGTATTAAATGGCAAGCGTATGAAGTATTCTTCATAAACAATGTCTGAACAAAAAAGGTTTGAATTACAAAATATTAAAAAATATGTTGGTACATTTGGATGTAGCATTCCACTAAAGCATAAAGACAGACATTTAGTATAAAGAAAAATTGTGCCACTTACCTATTTTTTTGCAGTTTCTAGGAACTTTTTATTCTGTACATAGGACCATTCTGTACAAAATATGAAGTCTACATTTTTATTATTCATTACAATAAAACCAAGTACAATGTATGTACAATATTAAAATGAAGCCATACTAAAGCCACACAAAAAAGACACTTGAAATATTCTTTTTGACATTCCTGATGTACAGGCATAAATTTTTGGAGAATATGGGAAGGTGGCTACCACTGAACTTTATGAAGAACAACAATCACCAAAACTGTTTTATTTGCACATTTTTATTTTGGACGTATTAGTTTTTAGAATAATTTAATACAGAACTTGTACAGAGCATAAAAATGGTGGTAACAAACAAGCCAAACAATTAGTGCTGCTAAGTTTTAGAATATTGCTCAGGCAAGTTTTGTCAACTTGCCTAAAATCTCAAGAGCAAATTGTCATGGCATAATTCCTCTATCTATCCCAGAACATTAATTTTTGGTGAATGTTTATCTTCAGTAAAGAGCAAAAATAAAATCTAGACAGTGAAAGATCTTATACGCTGAGCGTTACACAGTCAACCAAACATTGATATACAATATTTTCCCATCCCTGCCCCCACAGGATAAAATTCAAGAGCTTCTTTCCAGAAACTCCTTTCATGAACCTACTGAACGGCCAAATTATATTTTTAAAAATTGATAAATTATCAGCTAAAGATGGAAGTTCAAACAATGGTATATCAAAATACATATAGACATTGCTTTATGCAATTATAAAAGCACCCATTCCCCCCTCAAAAGGAAGGTGACATCTTTAAACTGCTTTAATTATTACATTTTTTATTATGGCAATGCATATTTATTTAATTTCAAGTTTAGCAGGAATTTATTTACTTTTTTTTTTACACTGAATGCAACTTTTATACTGATTTAAATTTAGCTTTATTTTAGTTGTAATTTCCATTATACCTGATCACCAGATCATCATGGGAATTACAGATAATTTTTTTTCCATAGGCTTTCCAATAAATATTGGATGATTTTTACTGAGACCAGACAGCAGACATTACATCTGCAGAAAGTTACTATAAATACCTGCTTTGCACAATAATTCGTGTGGATTCAAGATACCTCACTGCCTTTAAAGAACTACTTAAAAGAAGCTGCACAATTAACTTTTTTCTGCATCAAGACATCAAATGTTGTTGTATTACTGCCAGAGACAAAGGAAACAAGTAACTCATTCTAGATAAAACTCATCTAAAACAGCTCCTAAACAGGATATGAAGTTTAAAATACTGGCCACCCTGAGTGAAATCAAACATTGAAGACAAAGCACTACACATATTTTTGGAAAATTTATTCGTGCTTTCCATCTAGAACAATGAAAAAAGAGCACAAAACACGGAAGTAACCTTGTGGAATATATAGCAGCATTGGAAGATCAACAGCAACTCATGTGATTTTTAATTTCTCTTGTGAGGCGTGTATGTATTATATGTGCTCTTCACCACAGAAAAGAATATTGACAGCAGAATCAATGTTAACTCATTTCTTGACTCTTAAGACAGGCATCTGAAAATGTGGAATGCCATTAGAAAACTTTTTGCTTTATTGAAAATAATGGAAAAAGTATGGGTGTTTCACTTTCACTGGACTACATTATCCACAGAAGTGTATCCATTTAGCTGGCCTCATGATGGTTGCGAGAAGAACTCTTAGAGCCCAAAGTACGCCACGTGGTATAAGCTCAGGTCAGGTGGGAAGGGATGAGGCCATTTTTGGTAAATAAACGGTTTTGCAAAACAAAAGAAATATGCAATGACTTTTAAAAATGCAGTTTATTTCTGGTCAAGGCAGACAGAATTTCATTTCTTAGGAAAATAAATCCCTCTTCTACCAGCTCGGTTCCAAAGTACTTAAGTTTGTATTACAAGCTAAAGCACTCAAAAATATGGCTTCAATCCATATAAAGTACTCGGAAAGGGTGCCTTTCTCTGGAACATTTCTCAGAGCTCCTAGAAATTAGCTGTGATTGAAGATTGTCATGAAAATTACCATCTGTAAACTGCACTGAGAGAACAATTTAATTGTGGGTTTTGAACTGCCAGAATGTGTCTACGGGTAGTAATGCAGAACTGTTTTAGTTCAAGTTCCCCCTCCCTCCCTCCTGTCTTATTAAAAAGGCCTAATAGGTATAGATTTAGAAGCCTGACCACTGCCAAATTACCAATTAAAGCTGCTGCAGGGAGAGAAAGAAAAAGGGCTCAGTCTACCAGGCACTTCTGTAGTTCCATCTTTAATCATTTCATTGGTGCTTACTGGTGAAAATCCATGTATGGTCATTTCACATAGTATGCCTTGAAAAAGCTGTTCCACATAACACAACCCATGGAACGTCTGTGTAGATTGTCTCATGTGATAGTCACACACACATTTTGTCATATTCACGTCCAACATAGAAGAACGAGAAGCTGCACCCAACTGCAGCTTTCTAGAACATTTACATGTCATGAACACGATAGACAGGATGTTTCATAGGTTTTCTTATGCAGAATTGCTTCGTGTGGAGCCCAGCAGGAGGGCCTGGATACCTGTCCTAGAAGACTGCTTTCTTCCCCCCAGCAGTAATATGAAAAAGTGCATGCCTCCAATTTGTTGGTCCTATGCAAACAGCACTAACAAAATGCCTTTGTGTAATTCTAGCCACCCCAAGTTTCTGCGTACAGAATCAAGTAATTTACCATTGTTTGAACTATTAATCTTGAGCTGTGCATACTGTATCAAAGTTATTGCCGGACAGAATGGGGTTGAAAAAAGTTTTGACTTGTGTGTAACTGATCAGTATGGCACAAAAAAAGTAAGTTCTCTACTGTGGAACAGAGTCCGGAACAAAAGGGTTTTCCTCCAAATAAGTTTTTACTTGAATAGTCTAATGCCCATCATGTGATATTAGATCATCAGCTCGGCAATGGGACTCCAAGGCTTTCATGGTATAGATATCCTGAGGCAGTTCTGACTTGCGTCGCACCATAGGACGCTCCTTCTTCAGATCCTTCGGTGCCTAAAATCAAAATGTGGTGCTTTAAAAAATCCAATTATTATTTATACAACAGCCATTTTATTATAAAGGAGAGTGGAAAAATCAGTATTACCAAACTTATTACAGCAGCTTGGGCAAACTGCTTGGTTGATGCGATGCTGAACTCCTTTTTATCTCTTCCTGGCTGTCCAGGAAGCCACCAAGTTTACAACTGGCACACAAGGTGTCACTATAAAGTAGGTCAATAAAGTCATAAGACTGTATGCACTCCATAGCTTTGCATGATCCTCACTGGGGAGGCACACACTTTCTATGCTGTCTGGGAAAAAGTCAAGAAGCACAAAACCAGAAATCTATTCCAACTGTTTTCCCTTATTGGGGAGATGTATAGCACTGCTATGGGAGCTTTCAGCCCACTTATTCAGTCAAGCAGACTTCCAAAGACAGCAATGATAGACAGATGTAAGGCTGGGTTAAGAGAAAGCTGATAAAGGCAAGAAACAAGAATGGATGGGACTTGATAACTGTTCCTTTAAATACTGGTGCTCTTATTTGGTCACTGTGTTCTGTAGTGTATGTCAAGTCCAGAAACCACATCTGTGAAAGGTGATATTAAAGTACATGTCATGGTTTTTACACATATTTGTTGGTTAGAAAGCGTGTCTGTAGGAAGGAAGGGAAATAGCAAGAGTAAAGAATTCATCCAAAGAAACTAATTTTTATTTCATGTTTCATTATGACTGTTGTTTATTTGTTCCTGGCATTGAATGTTTGCCATTTTTCTTATACTTTGAAAACCGCCCTGAGTTCCTCTAGGGAGAAAGGACGGGGTAGCAATAAAGTTTTATTATATTATTATTATTCAGTTTCCAGTAGACAATGAAACCTCTAATGACATTCACTGGCCCAGTTCATACTATGGTAAACCAGGGGTCCATGGCAATCTTGGCTTACCATGGGTGCATACCATGTTGATGAATTATCCTAAACTGCTCCTACTTGGTGCAGACACAGCTAAATAACGTTGCAGATCTTTGGTTGATGTTCAAACCCAAAGCTACCTTTTAAACCGTTTTCATTCTCAGTAAACCAAAGAAGTAACCCTGAATCAAATACTCAATTGTTTTTATCTGCATGTCAGGACAGTCAAGCTGAACAGCTAGTTCCTCTGAATTTCCCTGGACCCAAACTGGAATTTGCTTGAATTATGTTTTCTTGTGGCATTCTTATGTGGTCATTGTCACTTAATTTTTCATCATGCTGAAATATACAGTGTAGTTATATTTCAGACTTTAAATACTGCCCAAAGATGAATTCAAAGATCTCTTTTGAATTCAAAGATCTCATGTATTGTTATTATTTGATTTCTCAAAAAGAGATTGTAGCCTTACCGGAAGCCTTACTGGAAGCTTTATTTCGTATCAATGCAATACTGGAAGCTACTGGTTTAGCTCTTCTGATGACAGAAAGACAAGGTAGGGCATTCTTGTGATTAAACATTTGTGAATACTAAGAGATGATATAAGTACTTTTGTTAAGCAACCACTGGCTCATACAGTTTTAGATTTTTTTGTCATTTTCAAATCAACCTAGTGGTTTGGATGTAATTAAATGTACTTAAGACAGTACTCAATGTTTGCACATGTGACAGGGCCAGGTTAATAGCTACTCAAACCATTACATTTAGGACCACAGGAAATTTTAGATTAGTAATTACTAAAATTATACTACTCATTTAAACTTTGTTGCAATAAAAGAAGAAAAGTAGAATTGATGACTAAAGGGAGTAAATATTCCTGGATCAAGTTTGTAGTATGCAGGCTATTTTTTCTTTCTATCTGCTTACCGGACAAGCTTCTTCTTTCACTGCCTTTTTCAGCACCTGCAAGTCTTCAATTAAAGGCCCATCTGTTTCCATTGCAACAGGACTGCTCACCAGACAGGTGTCACTATATACTGTATACTAACCAAATGCAAAAAGTTTATTTCAGAATTTTGATTTGACAGTAGTAAGAAAATGTATTGTTGAAGGCTTTCATGGCTGGAATCACTAGGTTCTTGTGGGTTTTTTGGGGCTATAGGGCCATGTTCTAGAGGCATTTCTCCTGACGTTTCGCCTGCATCTATGGCAAGCATCCTCAGAGGTAGTGAGGCATCTGAGGATGCTTGCCATAGATGCAGGCGAAACGTCAGGAGAAATGCCTCTAGAACATGGCCCTATAGCCCGAAAAAAACCACAAGAACCTAGTTGTAAGAAAGATCTTCATACTGAACTTAATTTAAGGAATCAGCTGCTATAAGCTGTGTTAACAGCCACCAGCTCCAATAACTTGGAAGGAGAATAGGAAATGTATACTTTATGAGCATCTGATGTGCCTTTGTAGAAAAGAAAGAGGAAGCTGGGCCACTGACAAAAATTGGAGGAACTTGTACTTTGGATGACAATTTCCTGGATTCTCATGCCAAATAAGGAGATGTAGTGTAAACGGTAACATTTCCAAGCTAATCTTTTTTTTTGTTCAAATCCAAAGGGCTCCTTCTAAATCAGACTTGGGAAAACTTTTTAACTTGGGGGCCACATGGCGAGCCGGAGTGCATAGGGTGGGCCGGGCAGGGAGATAGGGGGGTTGGTGCAGGGGGAGGTTAACACACGGCAGCTTGCCTGATCCACAGAAGGCCCAGGAAGTTGTGCTTATCAGCACCAGCCCTGGGCAGGGTCTCTTCTTGGCCTCCACTGCCACAGGACTCAGCTGCTCCTCACCAGCACACTCCCCTTCTTCTAGGCCTTTGCCCCCAGTGACAAGGAGGGCAGCTCCTCCTCCTCTTCCTCCACCACCACCACCTGGCCATGTGGCTGCCTAGGGCTCTCCTTCCCTTCTGTCCTGCTCCTGTTGTTCTTCTATCTGAGGCGGAACTTGTCCTTGAGAAAGGTGGGAGTGGCAGAGAAGGAGGAAGAGAAGGTGGAAGAGGAGCTGACCTCCTCGTTGCCAGGGGCAGATGTCTGGAAGAAGGGGAATGCGCTGGCTCTGTGCGCACCAGTGAGGAGAAGCTAAGTCCTGTGGAGGTGGAGGCCAAAGTACAGGTGAGGAAGAGGCTCTGCCTGGTGCTGCAGTCGTGCGTGACATCCCTGGTCTCCTCTCAGCATGAGGACATGGGCAGGTTCCCACATACTCATGCTTATAGAAAGGTGAAAGAGAGGAGGGCCTGAAAAAAGAGCCCAAAGGGCCGCATCAAGCCCCCGGGCCTTGATGTTTACCCATACCTGTTCTAAATGACACTAAAGAAGCATGGGCATTGTATGTTTTTCTGATGTAACTTCAGACTTTCTTCCTAAAAGGAAAGTTTCAAGAACAAACTGTCACACATGAAATGATTGTGTAGAATAGATCAATGAAAACATGTACTTGGTGGGTACATGTATGTGAGCTTCAGATCCTCTTTCTAATAATTCATATTAAACTCCAATACCAGGGTTTATTTTGCATTGGTTACTCTTCAAAAATAAAAGAGCAAGGATATAATTTAGACTCATCCTAATGTAGGAATCACTAAATCTGAGGTAGGTCATGTTACTGATTTGAACAACTACCCAAAAATCTGAATAATATTTGGCACGTGAAATACCAGGAAAAAACTAAACAGTAGCCAACATCTAACAGTTAGTCCCAATGCAATAGGTCAATTGCACCAATGGGCTTTAAATCATCATCAATAGCATTGATTATTGTTTCAGGTGAGTCTACTGCATGTTACAATGTTACATGGACTCTGAAATCAGGATACTTGGTGATGATCTATAATGTAATATTAATCTGACCATGTAACATGTCCAAGATATATATTTAACCTTGCTTTCACATTTGTTTAATCACCATGGCCCATAATAGGGGAGTTCTGGAACTTATGGGGCTGTATATAAATAACCCCTTAATGATTTAAGGTATGAACCTTTGTCAGCATAACAATCTTCAATATGTGTTTTGGTAGGTGAAGACACTCTTGATCAGGGGGTGCAAACAAGTGGAGAACAAAAATAATTATCTCAAATCAAAACACTTCTAAAATGGTTGCCAAAAAGGAAATCACATTGCTGTAATTCTTTTAATAAATATAAGCCTTTGTTCCTGCTTAGATAGCAAACTTTAAATATAATTTCTCATAGCACACTGGCCTTAATTCAGAGCAAAGACTAAATTACACCATTAATTTTAATAGGTTTTCGGAGTGAAGCCTTTCTCTAGCTGGCAGTATTAGGGATTACTTTATATACTCATGTACAAATCTAGTAAAAAAAAACATCCCTGGGTTGACTTTCTCATGGCTTAAAGTAAGTCCGGTATCTTAATTCTTATCAAAATAAGGAACCATCCACTTCTATTTATAGAAAGGTGAAAGGTGTGAGTGCCGTACATCCCAGTAAGACTTAAAAAGAAGTACCAGCCACTGTGATCGCTCTATTTTTGGCCTTTTTGAATACCTGGATGGTGAGAGGGTGGCAGCAGCCACGGGTAACTAACCCCCAGTGGCAACATTGGTGTCTTACTTTCCTTGCCGAATCACTCTTTACATATCCATGGGTCCTATCAAAATCAATAATTTTGGCCCCCAAAACCTGCCCTTGATTTATACACAAAGTCAACTTAACACAAGTATGTATGGTGAATCTGGGACACAGGTTCTACCACCAAGATACAGCCTCTCCTCGTCTCTCAGTGTTTTCTCTGAATGTTTTGTAGATACCTGGGGATTTGATTTGGCTAGATTTTCTATTTTAACCCAGGCTTCTTCCCGTTCCTTCATTTTTAACTTCTCCCTAGAAGAAAAAAAGATCAAACACATCACAGACAAAGATCATTAACTCTCCATAAAATTTAAAATACCACCAAAATTTCTGATACATCTGTTTTTAATGTTTGATTATTTTAGAACTTAGTGCCTGCTATCAACAGAATGATTTTTCTCTGTCATATGTGACCAATGCCAGTACATCTTTAGTATAAAATATGACCATGCCAGTAGATTTCTGGTATAATTTGTTTTGTTTTTTTTAAAAGGGGGGGGGGGTAATAAAATCCAAAGCCATTATAATTTAAGCTCACTTTTTCTTTTGGTTCGGTAATTTCTGCCCCTTTTAAGTAGTAAAGAATATTGCTGTAAGTGTTTGTAATGCAGAAGTCAGGGAAAATGCTGACATTTATTTAAATTGCTTTTGCAGTAGCTTTTGGGGGATCTGTCAAAATGTTTTTGTCTCCAGAATAAAAAAGAACATAGAAGTATCTAGGATGAAACTACAGGCTATTTTACCTTGAGTTGTAAGGGAGCTGGTAATGAATTATAATGCATTACTTTGATAAACTGCTCAATCGCTTTTGTAATAATGCTTACATTCATATATTTATGACTGATTTTGTGTATTTTTAAAATTTGTATAACTGAGGGCCTTTATTGGGAGAAAGTTGATTTATATATGAAATGCAAAATAATGTAAAATAATGTAAAGTGAAGAGTAAAGGCTTGTGTCAAATTTGTATTCAGGGATTTAGATTTAGATTGGGTTTGCAATATTGACGTGTAGCTGGCCCTACAGAACCAAGAAAGTGGTACACAGCTCTTCTACATAAGCAGTGAAAAACATAAATGTGAAGATGGAAACTTACTTAAGTTTTTCTGCTTTAAATTGCTGTGTGCAGTCATCAAAGAGTTTTTGGTTCATCTCCATGAAGAGTTTCAGAGCATTGTAAATCAAGCCATGTATTGTCCTGTAAAGTAAATTTTGCATTTGACATTTTGAAACATACATACAGCAGAAACAATGGATGTTCCCATAGGCTAAACTGTGGGCTCTTTCAAACAACAGATTGTATAGTGCTATGGTTTCACTTTAATTGCCATGGTTGTATCCTACAAAATCCTGGGAGAAGTCAAGTGAAATGCTACATCTCTCTAACAAATGATTTGAAACATAAACTGCAAAATGCCAGAATTTCATAGGACAGTACCATGGCTGTTAAAATGAATTTCTAGCACCATAACTGTATAGCTTGAAAAGGTCAAATTACATGGGGAAAAGTATACAATAGTATGGGAATTCTACATTTACTGCCTTTCAAAACTCCTCAAATACTATTTGTAATGTAAAACTTTTAAGATCATGCTGTAATGTAAACCTTTTAATATTACATGAACACAGAGACAATTTTAAGAACACAAAGACATACAGTAACTAACATGGCTTGATTCCATCTATAAATAAAAATGTTTGCCAAAAGACATACATGCTACTATGGATACATTAAAAATATGTTAAACTGTTTAGAGCAAACATCTGAAAACTTTTCAGTTACATTACATTTGAAAATATATTGGCTCAGGCTACCCACTGAAAACAGCAAGATGCATTCTTGCTAAACTATGACCACTATGATTTCACTTTATGGTTATTCTGCCAGTCATTGTCAAAGCCAGTTTAAAAGATTAGAGACCAATATTCAAAAATAAGAGGAAAAAGCTCTTCACCTGAATCAGACAGCACTCACTGCCAGGGAGGTTAAGTTATTCTGGAAAAGTAATCTATCACATGTTATGTCATCAGATCCAAAAGCCAAAGTACTATGGCTGCTTGCACCATGCAAGTCAAACAGGTGAAAAGGTGTGCCATACTGCGCGTGTACAGTGACATTGTTCATGCTCAGGGCAGGATGGCCATAAATGGAGAAGAAAACTGACAAGAGTTTATTGTTTTTAATATAGTAATCCAGGTTACTTCCAATTCAGTAAATCTACGTATTGCCTACATCTAGTTAATTATACCATTTATGTTGCATCTTTCATTGTGCTGAAGGGCAGATTTATCATGCATTGTTGGCCACCCCACTAGTACTTCTCAGTTCACAAGTAGCACCAGGCTTTGCAACAGCCAGTGCAGTCAGCATTCACACAACAGCTCAAATGCAAGCTTCTTTACACATAAAAGAGTTGCAGAACCAAGGTGGATAAAATTAAGTTCATGCTAGAATTCTAAACTATTGTGTGGTTGAAGATTGACAGAAGACTCACATGTATAAAAACAGAACAAACTGGACAGAAATGTAGAAAGAAAGGGAAAAAGAGAGGGGAAATACGAAGATCTTAACATTGATAAAGCTAAGTTATTTCAAAAGGTGGTAATGGATCATAATTCCAGGTTCCACATTTCTTCATATACTGGACAGCCACAAGAATGAACAGCAGTAGAGAATATACATGATATAAAAGATATACATGTGAATGCCAGAAAGTTATCAGATTGATAGATTAAATTAAATGGATAAATGTCCTGAAATAGTTTTGCCTTTGCAGCTGTCTTTCCATGGTCCCCTCAAGTGATATTTACTAATTTCTCATTTAGTAATTTCTCTGAAGCCTGTTCAGTCAGTGGATCCATGAGATTTTTATATTCGATCTACACCCCATCCCTCTGTAAAGTATTACGTTTATGCTATTCAGAAAACAGATCTATATTATTTACACCATCTGAGAACAGCAACTGGTGTCATTTATCTTTAAACAATACAGTACTCTAAATATTAAAGTTGGCAGTGCATTAACTATTGTCTTTTACCCTTGTAACTGAATGATTCAGAAAGATTCTTCATGAAAGACTGTCCCTAAAAAGCTGGAGAGATCAGACTTGATGGCATTCCCCTTTTGTGCCTAGAACTTCTTCTGCCACACGTTAAAGAGGACTGAGGGCCTCACTTGTCCTCCGCTGGACTTCAAAAGGATGAATCTCCCCCATTTTATTTACCATTTTTATTTAAAAAGACCCCTCACATCCACTAGTGGGCAACTGCTTTGACTTACCTTTGTATGATTTAAACCCAAAGGGGCATTTCCATTTTGTTATTCTAAAAAACCTGAAAGTAATTGGGAAATCACTTCTATTTTTTTAAAAAGGCCCCTGCGGTTCTAAAACATGTTTTTGGGGAGCAAGGAGGTGTATTAGTGAAAAGTATCCTGCCACACCTGCCTCTGAGGACAGAAGGGACCTCTTCTAGTAAATATTTTGAGAACAGATATTGCTTTAAAAATACACTGAAAGGCACTGGAGCCCCCAGTGGTCCACAAGTTGTAGTTTGCCCACTTCTGCTATACCCAGAGCTGCAAGAGGAACTTTTGTCACATCATATCTGTACCAGCCTGGCTGATGAATCAGACTTTTGTGAGTGCGGGTTTGAAAACTGCACAAAGCACAACATTAGATGTCATTCAATCTGCAATTATTCATTTGTTGCCCATAATTGTGATATGACGTGTAATTTCACCTGTCTTGTGTGACATTTAATTATATAAGGAAATCAAGTGCATCCAAAGAGGTGTATGTACATAAGAACTTCTGCGAGTTTGGCAGTTTTACACTTTGGTGCATCAAGCAACATACTGTAATGGCGCCTTACTTGTTCCAGTGCGTCTTTGAATTCCGGTACAGAGATGGAAACATGATAGGCAAGATCTTTGCTGCGTTGTCACTGATTAAGCTCATAATATACTCATTATTCCAGTAGTATAGTGCTCGTTCTGCAACCTAAGAGACATGGGGACATTTATGCCACTGACACAAACATGGTATCTCACACTGTAGTTATTTTCTGGTCACAGAGATTAATTCTTCCATGTTAATTGAGTTCTCCGCAAGTAGCACATTTGCTTTATTGCATGCAGTGTCTTTAGTTTTGAAGCTGGCACCTGTGTGGTTGTTGCTAAAGCTGACATAAGACAGTTTACAGAAAACAGAAAAACATCTGTTTGCTGATGTCAGAGCGGAAGCTTTCATGGCTGCAGCAGCTGAATTAATTCCTCTTCTGCTCACAGACTATTTAAATCTTGTGCCCAAGAGCATATTAAAATATGGTGTATATTACAACTCTACTAAGCAGCAATTAATACAGTGTAATGTTAAAATGCCAAACTCATTCAAGTATTCTTAGAAAGACTAACCTGAAAGTGTGGACTGGAGACACATTTTGCTAGCTGCCTGAAAAGAGGTTCCATAACCTTTACAAATTCAGATGGTTCAATAACATCTAAAATTTCTTCTAATTCATTTAAAAACATAACTTCTTTTGGACTATGAGTCTTTGGCCAGTATTTCAGCAGTGCCATCACCACCTGTAAAAATAAGAAATATACCCAATTTACATACAGTCTTTATCAATGCACCAACTGGTAATGCTAATACCAACATACACTTAAGTTCACTGACTTGAAACCGGATTAGATATGAAGAGTTCCAAACTTTGTTTTATGGGCTGAATGTGAGTTTACACTAAACTTTTGTTGATCAAAACCTGTTAAGGTTGTATGGCAGTTTGTATCAAACAGCAGCATCCAAAAAGTATGATGGAATAAAAGGAAAAGGAACAAATTGTTTATTCAAGTTACAATTTTCTCCATCGCTATTTTGTTTGTGTATGCAGAAACAATACAGTCATGCTGCTCAGGAAAAATGTGTTGTAGTAAAGGACTCCTGGAGAAATTGAGTTTTCCATCAAGACAGCTTTTGACCTCTGACTAAACGCGGTCTCTGTTGGTGATATTTTTGGCTGTGACTGCTGTGCCTAGTAAGAGTCACAGAGGAAAACCGAGCTAATGTTTCCATGTCGCAAAACAGGTAGAATTTACCTTTAAAGTCCTCAATTAAATAAATTTACCACAAGGCATCAAAGTCTCCAACATGACTAGTCAGAAACATCATTCTGTTCACTTTTCATTGTTTCTATTTTTTTTTTTTTTACAAAAATTGGAACAAATTGAATGTTGCAAATCTCGTGCTCTATTGCGTTCAGCAAAAAGAGGTGGATGCAGCCACTAGCAAACCAAAATGAGGTTTTGTCACAACTTCTAACAATGGAGGCTTAAGACTAAAGAGACATTTCTACGGATACGTTTTGATCCTCTAAATGAAAATGTTGACAAGTTAAGCTCTTTCAAACATAGATGTTTCTTAATCACAATAACTTATAAATAATACAGATGAGATATGTGTGAAATTTAAATTAATTTGAGACAAGCAATGCACTGTACTCAGTCATTACATTTTTCATTTCACATTTCTAAGTAATCTAAAAAGTTTTTTTTTTAAAAAAAAGATCACAAAATAATTTAAAAAGCTAAAGAAAAAAAGAGAAAACTTACTGGCTCAGTAAGCGTGCTGTCCTTTTCTAAAAACTGAACTACACAGTATGCCAGCTACAATGAGAAGAAAAAAGAGTAACATTTTAGGCTACAATAGTTCTAGAGATGTCAGCACATTTTGCTTATTACAGGTGAATAAAAGAACAAATCCAAACCTAAAATATTACAAATATGAAGTAGAATAACTGTGAAATTAAATCCAGGTGCATCTCAGTTGACAAAACATTCGGCAATAAAGCTCTTTTCTTATGTCAATGCAGCTCCCTCTATCTTCCTTGTCCTCTGTATGGCTGGAGACTGTTTTAGTAGCATTGGTACTAGGAGGACAGCAAAGGAAGGATGGAAAAACAAATGCTTCTGGTGCTGGGGTTGAAGCAATATGTGTGCAATAAATCGTGTGAAAATGCTTAAGAGGGAAAGAATGGTATTCTACTCTAGCCAATTATAGCTCTGTGTACCTGACTACTACAGGTCAGGTAAACAGTAGCTTCCTCCAGAATCCATTACTCAAGACCTATGAAGAGCAGCAAAAGGGAAATAATTTAGACTGACTCATTGATTACCTCTAACATATTATAGAAGCCTAAAAGTGTAAGTTTTCCCACCTGACAATCATCACTTTTGGGTGATGGCCATGGCTAAGGGAAGGTATTCCATTAACATTCATGAAAGGAGAAGTTTTGGTGGCAACAATCACTGGTTGGTGAATATCTCCCAAAATGAAGGGGTGATTGGAAGATCACACAGAAGTGTTCAGCAAACTTCCTACCTATGAAGCAACAGCGGAAATCTAAGTAGTTAGGAGTGGGGTGTGTGTGCAGGATACATCATGCACATGCCACTGAAAGCAAGTTTGCAAGAACAAAATGATTGCCTGCTCAGTAGTCATAAAATGACGTTATTGCTAAAAGATACTGGTGGGGTGGAATATCATAAAAATGCAATGATTGGCAACATTCTAATGACAAAACATCTGGAATTGCAGGCATATAATCTGCATACTTAAAACAATGCAATGTTGAGGCAGCCTGTTTTATGGAAATATTTCATTTTAAGATTTAATATTCCTCCTTCACCTTCAACAATTCAGTACTGCTGTTTATTTATCCTCTTTGACAATACTAAACTCAAAGCTATTTTGGTCTCATTGTAAATGTGTGCATTTTTTGCCTCTGTCTATGACCAAATAATGTAGTAGATGGAACCTTAGGAAACTTTCAGTGATTGGTTATGACTTGCTGCTGTTGCTCCTTAAGAAATATAAACCCTGTGGTAAGGTTAGGTTTCACATTATCAGAGAGCAGAAGTGCGCCCAGTCTGCAGTGCATGAATTTAAAATGACTCATAAAGGAGAACAGTAAGTCACAAAAAAACTCTAAATTGTTAATCTATTTCTTTTTGAAAGCACATTTATTCTATTCCTTCCTATAACAAATTATTGCACAAGTAAGCTAAATACTTCAACAAAGCAAGTCTATTGTGCCACTTTAAATAAGAGACTATTATGCGAGACTCATGAAAACCCTTTCTCTGTATTCTATGAGATAGTCAACATTTAGAAAAGACTATTTGACCTATGTATATCACTCAAATATTGCATGTGCTGGCATGAAGGTTGTCAAAACATACAGGAGGATTTAATGTGCTGTCTACACTGAAAATCCATTGTTTCCTCCTCTGTTGATAATGACTGAGGTTTTCTGAGTCATTCATAAAGAGAGGGGGTATTTATATTTAGCTGGCTCTAATGCCCTGTGACAAAACAGTATTTGTTGGTAAATATTTTCCTATCACCCTAGTCTATCACCGCATACAACCATTTTCCAACAGATTTTAATTTCAAGTAAGAAGAAAGCTGTATTTTTTCATTGACCGGTCGTATCATTAATATCAGGTAAAATATATGTGTGATGACAGTAAGTTCCCACAAGCACTGAGGAGGATTGGAGTTTTAATATCAGCCTGCTATAAAACTGCTGACAGTAGCCTACATGAAAACACAGGGTCGATGTGGCGACAATTGGCAGATGTCCATGGACCATATTCAGTCTCACAGGCTGCCAAATACAAGCTGCTATCACTCTTGTTGAGATACTGATTCTTGCATTCCATTACATGAGTAAGAAATACAATATTAGTCTGTAGGAAACAATGAGGTTTCAATTTCAATATAGTTCAATATAAGCTACCACAAACGTTAACAAGCATGGCGACACTTCAGAAGATCAAGAAGCTGAAGTGAAACACATTCAAAGTTTGCAGTCACTGCACACCTTTTTGGAAGTGATGGATAAGTCAAAAAATGAAAAAACAAAACAAAACAATATTCTAAAGAAATAAACAGGGCAAATCAAAATTTTGTGTTTTCCCTAATGGTGTCCAGGCCCAGCTATTGAGGCATGAATTATTGTTCTTCCTTGTCTTCCTATGAATGTTTACTGGAAAGGATATATGAAACAGAGTGATGAAAGGCAGGTGGTAAAAAAAATAAGCTGGAACCAGAAAGGCTATATCTATTGTGCCATTTATTTGAACTTGGATTCATCAAGGAAAGGCAGCTGTATAGTTCCCATCGCAACAACAATAAATGACAAAGTTGCTCAAATAAGAGCTGAGCTTCTCCAGATGGCTCTCAGTGTCTATATAAGAAAGAACACACATCGCTCTGCTGTCTGGTAAATGGAAAAATAATGTGCCTGTTGGTTTAATGAGTGAGGAGAAAATATCCAAGGATTTATAAAACAGTATTCTAATATATAACCGAAAAGTATACACATGACTATTTAAAACACTTTATGCTGGCCTCTTTATGTAACTTAAACTTATGATAACTTTAAAAACTCATTATTAAAAACATAATGTTTCTAATGGATTCTTAAGGATATGTATTATATTATGTGCTTGTACTTTCTGTCTTATTAAAAGAGTTAGAGGGGGAATGGCTGAGAGGGAGTGGTCAATGTCCTCCAAAACAAAGCATAATTCCATCATATCTAAAAGAGATGGTTATAAGTTCATCGTTGAAAAGCCTTCTCTGGATCCCACTGGACAAGTACTGGCCAGTTTCCCCTTTTACAATTTTTGGGCAAAGTACTGGAATATGTGGTAGCCACTTAACTCCAGGGGTTTCTGAAGGAGATGGATTATCTCGGTCCATTCAAACCTGGTTTCAGACATGGGTATGGGACAGAAATAGTATTGGTTGCCTTGGTGGATTATCTACATTAGGAACTGTACAGCAGAAGCAGCCATTTTTAATAGCCTATAAGCAAATTTAGTGAAAAATTCACTAAAAAAGTAAGTTCCTCGTAACAGACAGATGAGACAAATTTACTGGTGATCTCCACTAGAGAATACTTTCCGATTATCTAAGGCAGGCTATTAAAATCTGCAGATGTGTTGGACTACAAATCTCATTACCCACACACTGTGGATTGTGGGTGATGACAACTGCAGTCCAAAACACTTGGGAGGGGATTGGTTAATTGAAATTATGGATGTTAAAGGCTTTTTTCTTGCCCCAGTCTGCCCTAATGCTCCATAGCAAGAGAGTTCTACAGTACAATTGGAAGATTCTGCAAGGTTTCTACAGAGATCCCACAGGAGCACTAATGAAATTTACTAAGCTATGCATGAAAATTTGAGCTTTAAAATGCAACAAAGCTTTCCCACTAGTTTTGAACTGTATTTAAAACATACTGAAGCAAAAAGAAATCAATTATCCACTGATAGATAAGGCATCTTGAAAATAAGGAAGAAAATTCTGAGTTAATTTACATTTTTCAATAATGGTTGAATCACAGAATCATAGTAATTGAATTGGAAGAGATCATAATGGCCACCCAGTTCAACCTCTGCCATGCAGGGACACACAATCAAAGCACTCTTGACAGATGGCCATCCAGCCTCTGCTTTAAGATAAGTTTTGTAACATATCAAATAAAACTCTACAAACAACAACAACAACAACAACAACAACAACAACAACTTATTTATAATGCGCCCTATCTCCCCGAGGGGACTCAGGGCAGTTTCCAGCAATGTAACAAACATTAAATGCCAAAACAAGCAACTCTTAAGTAAATCATATAATAAGACAACCTAAAACTATATAAGACTGGGCAAAGAGTAACAAATTAAAACATAGATAAACATAACATAACACATCAAACGTATTTAATCACATGATAAAATATTGTAAGTTATGCTAAATAGATTGTATCTTTTACCTGTGGATGGTAGACACTGAGTGATTTCACTTTGTGCAAAGGTAATAACACCTTGAGAAGGAAAATTTTGTGCTCTTCTTTTAATGGTAAGGCAAATCCATTAATTATGCTGCAGGAAAAAAAATCAGAATTCAGAAAGCAGTAACGCATCTTTATTTATTTATTTTTAGAAAGAAATCTCTTACTCTCTTTTTGCAAGCTATATTTTTCATTTCATTTTATTTTTGAACTCTTCTTTTGAAATAACCAAGCATAAATGTCTACTAAAGAATAAAGGAAAACAAAAATATAAATGGCTTATATTTTAATTATACAATTTTTATCTAATCTAAACCAGGTGTGAGGAAAGTGTAGCTTACCTTCCCAATATTTCCAGTAATTCTGCTATGCCATTGTGATGTTCTGTTTCATAAATAAACCTGAGAAAGTAAATTCATTATGACTAATGAGAAAAGTTACTCATTTCCATTTTTGATTTTTTTCGAACACAAGAGTACTGTAAATAAGCAGTAAGTGGTTAATACTTTTGTCATGGTATATCTGATTACTGCCACGCTTGTATTAATGTAAGTTTAAATACTGCAAGTTTTCATTGCATATTCCTTCCCACACAGTGAAAAGATGGCAGGAAACGACAAGCAATATTAGAAATCGCAACCCCAGACTCACAGAAAAACAAGAATTCTATCACTTAGAAGGATGAGATGCATTTTAAACTTCTCTGATCACAATGGTATTAAAATCAGAAATTTACTGAAGATTTTAGGCTGCAATCCTTAGCATTTTGCTTGGGAATCTAGGGCCCACTTAGTGAAAAGCAGAAAGATCAGCCTTAATTATTCTATAAAAGGCAAGGAGGACTGGTAACACACAAGTGAAGGAATGTAGAGAAGAAACAAGTTAAATGCAACTTGATGTAATGTATGCACGTTCAAAATGGATATAGCAAATTGTAACTTAACTCATTACCATTTTGTCATTTATGTATCATCCTTTTTCTTTTCTTCAAGGTCATTTAATATTTTAGGTCAAAATGTTATTTGTAAGAATAAAGATGTCTTTTTCATTACTTTGTCTCTTCTATTTTCATTAATTATTCTATGGTCAGCAAAGGGACCTTATAGCAACTTTGAGACTTAACTGAGAGAAAGAAGTTAGAAGCATAAACTTTTGTCTATTTTATCAGATGTGTGGAATGAAGCACCAAGGAACAGGCATTGAAATCTATGAATAAATAGGATGTATTCACTCATTTATAGGTATAAATGTGTTTCAAGGCACTTCACTCCATGCATTTGATGAAGCAGATGTAGAGCCCATCTACACAGGCCAAATGAGCCAGTCCATGGGTGAACAGACTTTGTGGCTTCCACAAGGTGTAGGGTCTCTTTGTTGTAATGCGGCCTTCTCCCATGTTAAGCAAAATGAAGGATGCTCCAGAGATTGCCTGTGTTTTGGGCCAGTGTATCTTGGAAGCGGCTGAAGATGTTTACATCCCCATCCTGCATTCCCCAGAGTCACCACCATTTTCATAACTGAAGTTCAGAACAACAGGGGCAAGGTAAGGGTAGTGGTCCCATAGCTCCGAGCCACTTCTGATCCCTATGGGTCGTGTGGATGCCACCCAGCTGCCAGCCCAGTTCAGGGGCATGAAGTATGGGCACCCACCAGCCCAGCCCCTGAGCCAGCTCAGCAGCTGGCCATGTGGGTCCAGGCAATGTTGATCTGGAGTACCCCACTCCAGATCAGCATTGCTGTTTGTGGTGTGTAGATGCTGCCTTAGTCTATGGAAACTAATACTACCAACCTCTTTTTCTCAGGTAGTCCTAAAGGTTTTACAAGAGCCCTTTTCATAGTAACTGACACAGCTCTGCGTCTGGAAATTCTGTCCTTCCAGTGATATGTTAAAACCTTTCAATTCAGGCAAGCTTCTAAAGAAGTTTTTAAGACCAAGTTGGGGGGGTGGGTGGGTTGTTGAATAGTGTTTTATGTATTTTAATAAGTTTTAAATGATTTAATGGCTTTAACTACTGTGTTTATTTTTAATATTTCTATGTTCAATTTTGTTTTAGTTTGTATATATTTTAAGTTTTAAATTGTACATTGCATTGGTTTCTGGTATTGTTAGTCGCTGTGGGCTGGGCCTCTACGAGCCTGTAGATCTTATTTAAAAACCCAAAGCTACAGAATGAATGAGAAACAGTCAAAATCCTAATCAACCCTGACAGATCATCATACTGTGCCTCATAACTACAGGTCGGCCTATTTCTCCAATATCTGGTTCTGAGGGATCCTCAGAGTTAAATTACTATGGGAGGGGCAATTTTGAAGTCATCTGTGCCTTGGAGGTTCTTCCAAGATTGCCTCTGAGGACCTCGCAATACAGGTTAAGTGGGGGGGGGGGGGGGGGGGGAGAGAAGAAATGTGGCTGTAAATCAAGTGACTCTTTCGGGTGACTTGTATTAGGCAGTTGCTTCGTGTTTAGCAGTTTTGTGTGTGCATGTGAATTCACATGTAGTGGATTGTCCAGGATCACCTATTGTTACCACTCTTCCTCTTACGCAAAGAAATACTGGATATTTCTCTTCACTAGTACGACATATCAGAACATTACATCAACAGTTTGACAGTGTCAAAACCTGGCCAACATTCATAGTATCTACAGAAACTAACAGCATCAGGAGTGACTGAAAAAGCCTTCAAAAATAATTTTTACAACATTTTCACCAAGTGAAAACCAAACAAAGAAATACCCTGGAAAAGAGCTGGGAAGCACAAGAAGAGCTCTAGAATAGGATGCATTCTGTGCTCCTCACAAATAAAATGCCAAAACTAAATGGCATAACCCACAGGACCAGCTTTCATTAGTGACTTTTGGAAATGTTAAGTGTATCGATTAATTAATTTATCAATTAAATAAGTTATATGTTGCATCCTTCCACCAGCACTGGATGTAATAATATTATAAAAAACTATTCTAACACAGAATTTAAAAAGATGCAAAAATAATCATATACCTTATTTGCAGTATTCACAAAATTGCCAACAAAATTTTAGTTCATACCACAGAAGGTGAAGCATTGGTAAAACCCTTTATATAACTCATACACATCAGGACAGAATAAAGACATACCTATAAAATATATTGTTAATTTGCTTCCTGATGTAAGCTCTTAGGCCTAAGAATTTTCCATATATTCTGTGCAGAGTAGTCTTAAGAAAATCTCTTTCCCGAGGATCTTCACTGTCAAAGAGCTCTAAAAGCTGCAAGAGATACACATTTACTTGTTTTAATCCATTTCAGATTAATCTGGATATAAACTTTGAAGATATATTCATTTTTTAACCTCACCTGCAATACAAACTTCTGATCAATATATTTCTTAGCTATATTAGGTTGGAAATCTGGAGATTCTAAAAACCTTAAGAAAAATTCATATACAAGCTGAAAAAGATCCACAAAAAATAAAAATTAGTTTTACAATACATATGCAATCTGAAAGCGTTAAATACTCAATTTTATACACCCATCAAAATAAAAGTAAAATCGCACAAGGATATTTTATGCAGCAACAATTTACATGCTATCTGATGTCATGAATTTGAAATTTATTTTGTTAACTTGTCTCAGACTGGTACTATATTTGTGGAGCTTATTTCCAAAAGGTACCAGAGCTATCTGACAAAATTTTATAGGAATAAAAAAGACATACTGAGAATATGCATTCCTATGCTATAACATGCAATTTTCCAAACCTTATACCAAAGTTAGTTTTTATCTGTGCATAACATTCTACTACTAGCCAACAATGTGCTGCCACATATAATTCATTTTTAATATTTAATTTTTTAAAAGATTTGGTACCATTTTGGAAACAAACTCTACATTTGTGCCCATCAGCTACAACTATTTCTTTCTTGCCTAGAAACCCAATGAAGGCCAACCACCAATGATTCACAAATGAAGATTGTTCCACATTAATTACGATGCTTATATACTGCCTTCCTTCCATTCTAAGGCACACTTTCCCCATATATAAACATCTCTAAAAATGGGATGCATCTTAGAATTGCAGGTGCTTTTATATAGAAACACAGTTTTTTTTTATCTCTCTCTTAGTGGTACTGAAATTAGTGTGCATTTTAGAATTGAAGAAATATGGCATTTCTGACAAGTGGTCTACAAAGATCCCTCTAGTCCTTTGTTGTTTCTCTCCTGCATTAATCTTATTGAAAGGGTAACCATGGAATAGCAAGGTGAACTAAAACAGAAAGAAGGGGGGGAGCAAGCTAACTATGTGTTCAGGGGTAAAGGGGGAAAAAGGAACCGTTGTTAGCCCACACTACTGGCTCCTGTCAATGCTTACTGCTAACATGCAATCTCTGACTTGTTGCCCACTGTCACACCAAATATGCTGCCCACCTTAATATTTTTGGGAACAGAAATCACCCAGAATATCACTTGCTCAGTTCCTCTGTAATTATAGTAATTTTTGAAGTTCCCAAGTTTTTCAATGGAGCTTGAGCGCTCCTAACACAATACACAAGAGAATTCCAAACAGCAATAACGAAATTTCAAGACGTTGTAAATTACTGGCTGATGGAAATATCAGGAACATAATACATACAGCGTCTTCTTGGAATTTTCCTTATCTATCTTTTTTGCATCCATATTTATCAGAACTACAGTGTGGAATGCAAACTAGGTTTTTACTCCATTTAAACAGAGTTTGATTTTGAAGATATGTCACTTCTCACAATACTGATATAATGGCAATATATTACAATTTGCAAGGATCTTGCTTATATTTGTTAGCTAGTACCAACAAAATTCAGTTTGCCAAAGACTTAAAAGAGAAAGTCAGCATGAGTGTGCACAGTGGAAGATAATTTGAGCAAATTGAACTCCTGTTTTAGAGATATCTGACATTACATCAGTATTGGGGGGAGCAAATGGGTGGCATATTATCTGACACCCCGTTTGCAGAACATAGGCCTAAAGCGATTTACTCCTAATCTCATATTGTACAACTAATGAAATGAGTGAAATGTTATATGGACTCTATGTTTTTATTTATACATGAACGAATACCATATGCCTTATCCATATTTAAAGAAATTATGTATCAAAGCTGTAACTCTATGACTAAAAAAAAGTAACAACCTTGAGCATACATTTGACAAATATTTTCTACTATCATATAAAATTAAGATAAATCTAGAGCCATAAAATACAGACTTGAATGGAAAACCCACCCATGAGATATTTAAACTGCAGGTTAGTGTGTTGCAGACTAGTGTGGCAATACACTAATCTGCAGTTTAAATATCTAACAGATTGCTCTTTCCCTTAGTTAATGTTTGGTCCCTGTATATTTAGATGGGAGTACAGAAATTATTTTTCCAATGTACCTGTAAGTGAGGCCAGGCAGCTTCTAAGGTTGGTTCATCCTCCTCTGGGTCAAACTCTGCTCCCGTTGGGTTGGATGATGGTGGTAGTGTGCGGAACATGTTAACTGCGAACTAAAATCATTTTTTTCCTAAGTGTTGGCACTCGTAAAACCCTATATTACAGTATTTCTGCACAAATTTATGAAACTACAAAAGCAAATGAAAATACACTGAGACATTTTAATTCTAATACTGGATATGATTTGCTTTTAGGAATATCTTTCTTCAGGTATATTTAGTGTTCCACCCCAACTTCATAAAGTTTACTTTATAATAAACATGCTTCACTGTGTTAATAAGGAAAGAAAAAGAGAGCTTTGCTCTCATTAAGACAAATTAAAATAAACTAGGGGAAAAGAAGAGTCAGACCAAAAATTCTCAAGAAATTATCAAATCCAATATTATTTTCTCTTTCAAATTCCTTTCCATACAGTTGTCGCTTCATACTCTCAAATTCCGCACCTACAGACTCAACCATCTGTGGCTTGAAAACATTCCTTCCACCTCTCAAAAATTCTAAAGCAAACCTTGATTTTGGCATTCTATATAAAGGACATCACTTTACTACACTGAATATAATGAGACTGGAGCACCCATGGATTTTGGTCTTCATCTTGGGTTCTGATATCAAGGGCTCACTGTACTAGCACTCCGTTCACAGTTATAGCGACCTAAATAGTCACAATTTTAAAGAATACAAAATTTGTCAAAGACATAGGTGCGATGAGACAGTAACCCAAAATTATGGGCTCAGAGTCCTTAGTTTAAATCTCAGAGAGGTTTCTCAGGTCGCTCTTGACATGGAAAAAAATTGAATATTGTAGGCTGTTCTCTCTCAGTACTTATCTGTCAATAGGAATATCACACAGACCCAACTTTATAGGAGTATAATAATTACATGTGGAATGGAGTACTGCTATCTAGATCTCTTTCTTTCAAATTCTAAGGAGAATTGGAAAACAATTTAATGACGGTCTAGATGTGGCTGCATAACATGAAAACTGATCTACTCAAAACAAGGTGATGTTGACTAAAAATAGTTTCATGTGGTAATACGAGATGACTCTCATAGGTCTACCTCCTGAGTTAGACATGACGAATTTCTTGCAAAGATAATATATTTGCAGTTTTAAAATATTCCTGGATCCAATATGATCAATGGTTGTTGTTTTTTGTTTTGTTTTGTCATGTCAGGAGTGACTTGAGAAACTGCAAGTCACTTCTGATGTGAGAGAATTGGCTGTCTGCAAGGACATTGCCCAGGGGACGCCCGGATGATTTGATGTTTTTATCATCCTTGTGGGAGGCTTCTCTCATGTCCCCGCATGAGGAGCTGGAGTTGAGAGAGGGAGCTCATCCGCCTCTCCCCGGATTGGAACCTGCGACTTGTCGGTCTTCAGTCCTGCCGGCACAGGGGTTTAACGCACTGCGCCACCGGGGGCTCCAGTGGGTGACAGTACATGGGAGTGTTTTCTCTACTGGGGGTCCAAACTTCCTTCTTTATGATAATTTTATAGGTATGCTTTTATACCATTTCTTTTGGTCCTGTTATCAATATATACAGTGTTCCCTCACTTATTGCAGGGGTTACATTCCAGGACCACCCGCAATAAGTGAAAAACCATGATGTTGGGATGCTATATATATATATATAGATAGATAGATAGATAGATAGATAGATAGATAGATAGATAGATAGAGAGATAGAGAGAGAGCGTCCCTACATCGTGGTTTTTCACACACACACAGACATGAATGAAATGCCTTGCGGATCGGCTAGGGCCGGCTTCCCCACCTCGCCCCAACAGCCTTTGCAGTGCTGCCCTGGGCTTCTGCAGGGCTCCGTGGCTGCCAGGGCGAGATGGGGAAGTYGGCCCTTGCCTATCCAACCAGCAGATCAGCCAGGGCCAGCTTCCCCATCTTGCCTGGCAGCCACGGAGGGCCAGGGCAGTGCTGCAAAGGCTGCTGGGGTGAGATGGGGAAGCTGGTTGGATCRTCCAGGGCTGACTTCCCCACCTTGCCCCATCAGCCTTTGCAGAGCTGCCTTGGGCCTCCGTGGCTGCCAGGGCGAGGTGGGGAAGCTGGCCCTGGCCAATTCAACCAGCAGATCGGCCAGGGCCGGCTTCCCCATCTTGCCCTAGCAGCCACGGAGGCCCCGGGCAGCGCTGCAAAAGCTGCTGGGGCGAGATGGGGAAGCCAGCCCTGGCTGAACCGCTGGTTGGATCGTCCAGGGCTGGCTTCCCCACCTTGACCCAGCAGCCTTTGCAGTGCTGCCCGGGACTTCCGCAGGGCTCCATGGCTGCCAGGGCGAGGTGGGGAAGCCAGCAGGCAGCCACACAGCCCGCGGACTCGCTGTTTCGTGGATAGGATTTAGAATATTAATTCTAAACCCCAACCGCAAAACAGCGAGTCTTCGGCGAGGGAACACTGTATTACATTTTAGTTAAAAAAGACTGTTCTGTAGTACAGAAGACAGAAATACAAAACAAACTTTATAGAAAAAAATGTAGAACTCGACTTTCATTGGGAAGAATTGACTGAAAAGCAAAAAATAAGCATATTTTCATTTTAAAAACTTACCATATGTACTACTTCTGGGTAAATTGGTTCTGTAATCACATTTCGATTATGTGTGATGTACTCTACCATTTCACTTAAAGCTGCACGTTTAACTTCTTTCCACTTCAGGTCACTTAGTGGATCAGAAACGAAGTCGAAAAGTACGCAGCATTGCCGCAACTTCTGAATGAAGAGCTTTTCTTGTTCTGCAGGAGGAACATCTGAAAGGAGTAAAAATTACTATTATTATCACAATTCCTTTACACATTATCTTTATGTTTATGAAAAGTTGCAGTACTATGAAAGATGAATAAGAGATACTTATTTTCTTGTTAAAAAATACTGAAACACTGTATGTTCTCATACAAACCTACCCCATTTTGAGAACTTCTGGGAAGGCCTGACTATCTTTCCCACCATCCTCACAGGTACATCTAGTGGATGTCCAGGGCTCCAGAACTTTTTTCCAGAGAGGTTAGGCTAGAATCTTCCTTGCTATTGTTTTGCAGGCAGATAAAGAACTTTTTGTCTCAATAGGTTCTAGAAGGCTAACTGCTCAAGGGAAAAGCCCTTACATACATTTCTATTCAATGCTTTCCTTTTAATGCTTTCTGTTTAACAAGTTTTAATTTTTTAAGTAATTTAATTACACTTTTAACTTTTGTACATTATGATTTTTAACTACGTTTAACTATTGTAAGCTGCAGAAAAGGCAAGAGATGGTGGTAATGGGAAAGCAGCAACAAAATTTTTGTACCATTATAATAAAATAACCCTTTATTGAACAATCTTTATTATTGCTACCAAACAAATGTTCTCCTTTGAAAGCATCTAGCTTTCAATTTGTTGAAAGGCAAAGCATCATCTGCTGCATGTATCTTATGCTTCTGGGGAAAAATCCCTTTCAAGTTCAGGATACACATAAATTATTTATGTACACATGTAGGATCAGCTCTATCAGCAGTCACAAAAAGTCAGTCATTTCAGTGGCAGAGATGAAGACAAATGAAGGCATGAAGCCAGATAGCTACCCTCAAGGGTACCAGGAGAAAGGCGCAATATAAATTAAGTAAACAAAGTGAAATGTAGCATGATGTTCTATCACTAAGTGTTGAAATAAAACTCAGCTATCATTGGAACATGTTTGCTGAAAGAGGATGGAGTGCAATGTTATATTTTCTTTGAATTCAAGGAGTCAAACAGCTGGAGTCATATGTATGAATGAAGACATAACAAAGAGTTTTTAAGATTACAAACAGGTGAAGAGCATATTTAAGTACATGTCTCCTTATAGAGCTAATTGTACGTTAAACCCTGATTGATCTTTTCATTCTTACTTTTAAAAAAATAGCAAGATGTCTAAGAAACTGAAATTGTATAACTCACTATTATCTTGACACTCAGCTGAAGTAGTGGTTTCCTGTATGAGCTACTGCACTGTGGGGATGGTGATGGGTCAAGCAGATAGTTTAACAGCTACAGTGATTGGTTTCAAAATTACTTGTCTATTACGCCTAAAATTCTATACTCTTGGTATAGATTTACGGGAAGGGTGGGAAAGCTGCAACTTCACTTGACACATCGATACATTTACAACTGGCAGGATATCACTGATGATAATCAAAGGAACTGGATATGGAAACCTGTTATACCAGAGTTTTGTATTTAAGCATGTACAAAATGACTGGCAAACTAGTTATGTAAATGACGGCGTTCCCACTGTTGCAATTGGCTAAGCCTTCTTCTATTCTGTGCTTCAATTCATCTAAAACTTTCTTTCAAAAAGCTACTCCAAACCTGCCTTTCAAAATCCATGCACTTGAAAACTGCTAATATTTGCTTGCCCTAAGGTCTTGTGCAGTAGCGTGAGATGATATTCTAAAAAGGCGAGTAGCAAACTGAATGATATTCAAGTAATGTTATGTATACTGTAAGACATAGGTATGCTGGAAACCTCTGCTAATATACTGTTTTGAAAATTAGTTCTGTTTTATTATTGGTTTTAATTGTTATTAACTGCTAGCAAAGGTATGTAAATACTTGAAGATAAGGAAATACAGCTGATTCCCCCTTTAAACTTAAATCCACTCCTGGTTTCCCCTTAAACTACCTTAATTTCATCAGCTAGGTTGTCCTGTAAGGCAAGCTGATCCCTACCCTCATTCTGAAATCCACAATCTTCTAGAAACCTAAACCTTTTTGCTGCTATTCACACTCTTCTACTGGCATACGGCAACGTCAAGGCCAGTGGTTCTCAACCTGTGGGTCCCCAGATGTTTTGGCCTTCAACTCCCAGAAATCCTAACAGCTGGTAAATTGGCTGGGATTTCTGGGAGTTGTAGGACAAAATACCTGGGGACGCACAGGTTGAGAACACTGTCTAAAGCGAACCTATCACAAGGTTTTCCTGACAAGGTTTATTCAAAAGGAGTTTGCACATGCCTTCCTCTGAATTGAAAGAAAATGACCTGCCAAAGATAGCTGTATATAATCAAAGTATTACACAGTTGGAAGGGAGTCATAGAGCTGGGAAAGCTGGAGGAATGATGGAGGTTTGTGTGTACATAACTTTGGAGTTGTGTCTGTCGCTAAGGGGAGAATGGACTTTTGTCTGCAGTAAACAGGAGGCAGCTGGATTTCTGCAAAGACTAGGGGTGGTGTTGAATCGCAACAATGATTCTATTTATGGACTACAAGAGACATAGCCTTATGCAGATTTGGGCAACTCTGTCCAACTTTGATAGACCTTTATCTTGAAAACTTTGATGCCTCAAACAGTTTTGCTAGGTTTGGTGCATCTGATAGTTGCTATAATTAGCAGCCAACTCAAAACCTTTTCTAAATTGATAGACTGAAGGATGTACCAGTAAACCCAAATCTACTTTTTCCCATTTCTATTTTGAAATGTGAACTGCTTTTCTAGGTCAGATTATGGTCCATCTAGCTCTTCATCGTTCTTCATAAACACAAACAAAACATGATACTAGTGTGTACCCCTTATTTTGACTCTAACACTGGTATTTCCGAAGAGTAATTCATTCTAAATATACAAAATGTTCTACTTCACCATCACTGAGTATAAATGCTCTCAAGTGTGTGGGTGGAAACACTGGAACTTCCCAATGTCCATGAATTCGTCAAACACTAATAATCTACCTAAACCAACAGCCATCACAATTTTTGGTGGCAATTCTATGAACAAACTATATGCTTTGTGAAGTATTTCCTCTTGCCTTTTATGAAAGAATCACCCATAAAACTTCATTGGGAATCCACAAGCCACAAAATATACCCCATCTCAGGACATGCCATGTTTTCATGTATACATACACCTAGAGTTCTCAATATATATTACTATTTCACTCATAATACCTAACTGTGAAATATTAGTGTCAGCTACAAATAAAACTAGTGAGTTTTCACTTCTATGTAACTTTAACATAAAATAAACATAATAAAATATTAGCTAGTTATTTATATTGTACAATACATACATATAGCGCTTTACAATAAAGAGGCCTTTTGCTACAAAAGTGGAATGCAGTTAATATATCCAGGCAGTCCACGGGTAACAACATTCAACTTATAAAGAACTCATAGTAAAGAACAGGGGTGAGACAACAGGAAATGTGAAAAATCTACCCCTCAAAAGGGAAATTTACTCCTGGAATAGTTATCATGGGGGAAAGGTTTCTCAACTGAAGCTTTATCACCAATCCTTGTTTCCACAACAAGCGGGTTTTTTTTTTTCAAAATTCAATCTCACAGGGACAGAAAGTGAGTTGAAATCTTCTAAATAGGGGCACAGACAGCAAAAGAAACACCACAGGGGTATTAACCTTTTTCTATGCCGGTGGTTCTCAAAGTGTGCTCTGTGGAGCCCTTGGGACTCCACAAAGCACTGAGGGGCTCTGAGCTTCTCCCCCCTCCAATTACCTGCTCCTCCCCCTCCCCCACATTCACCAAAAGTCTTTTCAACCTGCCTCCCTCGCCACAAAAAGTCTTTTCCCCTTAGCCCCCTTGACGCCAAAAGCTTTTTCTCCTTGCCTTTCTTGCTACCCAGATCCTTTCGCCCTCATCTTGCTTGTTTTCAAAATCCCGTTTTTCCCTCCCCCTACTGAAGGGGTGCTTGAGCTTTTCCTGCATGGCAGAAGGGAGTTGGACTGGATGGCACCTGGCATCTTTCATTGAAACTATGTTAAGTTTGTTGTTGTTCATTTGTTCAGTCGTCTCCGACTCTTCGTGACCTCATGGACCAGCCTACGCCAGAGCTCCCTGTCGGCCGTTACCACCCCCAGCTCCCTCAAGGTCAGTCCAGTCACTTCAAGGATGCCATCCATCCATCTTGCCCCTCTTCCTTTTTCCTTCCATTTCCCCCAACATCATTGTCTTCTCTAAGCTTCCCTGTCTTCTAATTGATGTGGCCAAAGTACTTCAACTTTGTCTCTAGTATCTTTCCCTCCAGTGAGCAGTCGGGCTTTATTTCCTGGAGGATGGACTGGTTGGATCTTCTCGCAGTCCAAGGCACTCTCAGCACTTTCCTCCAACACCCCAGCTCAAAAGCATCTCTTCCTTCGCTCAGCCTTCCCTAAGGTCCAGCTCTCACATCCGTAGGTTACTACAGGGAATACCATGGCTTTGACTAGGCGGATCTTTGTTGCCAGTCTGATGTCTCTACTCTTTACTATTTATCGAGACTGGACATTGTTCTCCTCCCAAGAAGTTAAGCGTCTTCTGATTTCCTGGCTACAGTCTGCATCTGCAGTAACCTTTGCACCTAGAAATACAAAGTCTGTCACGGCCTCCACGGTTTCTCCCTCTATTTTCCAGTTGTCAATCATTCTTGTTGCCATAATCTTGGTTTTTTTGACGTTTAGCTGCAACCCGGCTTTTGCGCTTTCTTCTTTCAGCTTGATTAGAAGGCTCCTCAGCTCCTCCTCGCTTTCGGCCATCAGAGTGGTGTCATCTGCATATCTGAGGTTGTTAATGTTTCTTCCAGCAATTTTCACCCCAGCTTTGCATTCATCCAGCCCCGCACATCGCATGATGTGTTCTGCATACAAGTTAAAAAGGTTGGGTGATAGTATGCAGCCTTGCCGTACGCCTTTCCCAATCTTGAACCACTCTGTTGTTCCGTGGTCAGTTCTGACTGTTGCTACTTGGTCCTTGTACAGATTCCTCAGGAGAGAGACAAGGTGGCTTGGTATGCCCATCCCACTAA